AAACAGAAAAAATTAGCCGGGCATGGTGATGCGTGCCTGTAGTCCCAGCTACCTGGGAGGCTGAGGCAGGAGGATCGCTGGAGCCCAGGAGTTTGAGGTTGCTGTGAGCTAGGCTGACGCCACGGCACTCTAGCCCGGGCAAGAGAGTGAGACTCTGCCTCAAAAAAAAAATAAAAAGATAAAATGACAGACTACAGCCTGGGATAATAATATTTATGGGCAATGTAATAGACTGGGATATGTACCTGGTGTATAAAAAGTTTACTTTTATCTGTTGCTTGGAATATATTTCATTCCTCTTGAAGCTTTCTGTCATATAGTGGTCCAGTTGCTTTATATTTAGTCCATTACTTTTTTTTACTGCTTTGTGTGTGTGTGTTTAGAGGTTTTAATTGCTCCCATACCAGACACATTCTGTGCTTTTATCATATTCTTAAGATTTTCCTATCTATTTCTCTAGAGTCTGCCTTTTCCCAAGAGACTCCCTTTATGGCCTCTTGTGTTTTCTTGCTTGACTCTGGATTGCTTGCCCACTAAAGCTGCTGGATAGCTATTATCCTTGATGGTCACTGCTCCCTTAGGTTAAAGCCATTGTTTTTTGGATATTGTGTCTTCCTCTTTTGCTGGAATATAGTCTTAAGTAACTTTTTGAGAAAAGGTCTACTTTCTGAATCTCTTCTTTCTGAAAATGTCTGTATTCTGCCCTAACACAAATTTCGTTTGAAATTGTGGCACCTACGTGCTTAGGTAAAAACTTTGGAGTCATCCGTCTCACTTCATTCCCTACATCCAATTAATTCATCAACAAACCCTATTAGATTTTCCTTTAAAGTATATTCAAAATTCAGTTACTTCTTAGCACCTCCACTGCTGCCATTCTGGTCTGAGCCACCATCACCTCTTAGCATCTTACTGCAGCAGTTACCTGTCTAGTCTCCTGCTTCCACCAGTCTGTTGATGCCCTATGGTCTGTTTTCCACAGTGACGGCCGAGTGATTCTCTGGTGCAAACTCTTTTATTTATTTATTTATTTTTTGAGACAGGTTCTTGCTCTGTCACTCAGGCTCTACAGTGCAGTGGCATGATCATAGCTCACTGCAGCCGTGAACTCCTGGGCTCAAGTGATCTTCCTGTCTTAGTCTCCCAAGTAGCTGGGACTACAGGTGCACATCATTGCACACGGCTAATTTGTTTTTTTTTTTTTTTTTAGAAACAGAGTCTCACTCTGTTGCCTAGGCTGGAGTGCGTGCAGTGGTGTAATCATAGCTCACTGTAAACTCAAACTCCTGGGCTCAGGTGATCGTCCTGCTTCAGCTTCCAGAGGAGCTAGGACTAGAGGCATGTGCCACCATGCCTCATTAATTTTTTAAATTTTTTGTAGAGATGGGCTGTGT